AAAAAAAAAAATAGCCTAGCATTGTAGTGGATACCTGTAGTCCCAGCTACTTAGGAGGCTGAGGCAATAGAATTGCTTAAGCACAAGAGTTAGAGGTTGCTGTGAGCTGTGATACCATGGTACTCTACCAAGGGCAACATAGTGAGACTCTGTCTCAAAAAAGAAAAAACAATTTATGGCAATAAAGGTGTTTAATATAGTAATTAGGGCTTCTTCATGAGGTGTTGGGGGGATAAGTCTCTGATCTTCTAATTGCAACTTCCCAGAAACAGTCACTAATTATGTCAGTCTGGAGTCTGGAGTAGATTAGAAACCAGAGTTCTCAGAAAAGTCTGAGAAGCTGCTGTGTCTGTTTGTTAAGACCTCAAAGTGGGAATTCACGGAAAGGTTTGTGAAAGTGCATATCTTGCCTCCACAGACTTAAAGTAGAAGCTCTGGGACAAGTCTGATGCTGTGATATCTGGCTTCCTTTTCCCTTCTCTCTTTTGAATCGCTCATGAGTACCTACCATAGGTAAATTAACCCAAGCCACATAGGAAGGATGATCCTGAGTTTCTCTACAAAGGAATGTTTATAGAGATGACAATGCAGAATGTAAGGCTTCATAAACACACACATCCCAAACTGTCAAAGGAGCTAAACCATGAAGAACAACAGAGTCTACAGAGAGAAAAGAATAGCATAGCTGGAGTTATAAGACTACAATTGATTTAGGGAAATGCAAGAATCCATTATGTCTGTGGTATAAATTGCAGGGCAAAAAATGGTTGAGGTAGATGAGAGCCAAACAACGAAAGACTTAAAAAGTGGCCGGTGCAGTGGCTCACGCCTATAATCCCAGCACTCTGGGAGGCCAAGGTAGGTGGAGTGCTTGAGCTCACAAGTTCGAGACCAGCCTGAATAAGAGTGAGACCTGGTCTCTACTAAAAAGAAAAAACTGAAGCAAGAAGATCACTTGAAGCAAAGAGGTGAAAGTTGCTGTGAGCTATGATGATGCCACGGCACTACCCAGGGTCACAGCTTGAGACTGTCTCCAAAAAATAAAAAGGGAGGCTTAAAAAGTAAAACATATGCACCCAAAGGAGAACTACTAAAAGGATTTGAGCATGGATACAATATAACAAAGATTATGTTTCATTAAGATAATTCTGACATTGATAGAAGGTAGACTGATAAGAGGAAAGTAAGTCTGGATATGCTTAGAGGGCTGTGACAGACACTGTAAGAGCCTACCAGTGTGGCTGAAGGGAAGTCACAGGGTTTAAAACATCTTTAAAGAGTTTTAGAGGTAAATAGAGGAGTCAAGGAAGGCTCTTTAGGTCACTGGATGTCTGAGAACGTGATAAACCATAAATCAGAACACAGAAAGCTAGAACAATACCTAGAGAGAAAATGACTTTGATAAATTCAGAAAAGAGAGAAATGGTTTAGGAAAATGACTTTGATAAATTCGGAAAAGCCCCAATTCGATATTTGCTTCAGCACTTTTGATAATACCTGCTCTTGCTTGTATTGTAGTGTGATCTGGAAGGAATCATGCCAAATGTTACTATCAGCTTGAGTCTTCCCACCAATGGATCACCACTTCAAGATGTTCTAGTTCATCCTTGTGTGACTTCTCTCGACTCGGCCATTCTGACTTCTAGTAGCACTGATACAATGGATGATTCTGCATTCAGTGGGCCTTACAAATTCCCATTCACTCCGCCTTTAGAGTCGTTCAACTTGTGCTACTACACTTCCCAGGTAAGCACCCTGGGGACATTGAGACTTTGCTAATCCTCATAAATATTATTGATAAGCAAAGCATTTGTACTGTTGGTGCAAACAAGAACATTCCCTGAGTCATATACCAGGCAACAATTGATGAATGAAAATGAGGGCCTGGTGCAGTGGTTCATGCCTATAATCACAGCACTCTAGGAGGCCAAGGCAGGTGGATTGCCACAGGTTTAAGACAACCCTAAGCAAGAGCAAGACCCAATCTCTACTAAAAAATAGAAAAAATTAGCCAGGTGGTTGTGGCGTGTGCCTGTAATCCCAGCTACTTGGGAGGCTGAGGCAGAAGGATCTCTTGAACCCAGGAGCTTGGGGTTGCTGTGAACTATGACACCATAGCACTCTACTTTAGGTGACAGAGTGACACTCTGTCTCAAAAAAAAAAAAAAAAAAGAAGTAGACTCAGGTTTTTGGTACTAGGACTAGAAACAGAAAATTAAAATCACTCCGTACTCAAAGTCCACATTGTCTATCTCTTTTCTGCTCCTTATTCTCCTCTTTCCACTGGCTTTCTCTGAGTACTCATGACCTTATAGCTCTAGGACCTACACTGTATGAGTCTCTCTTGTGTCTTACTTCAAATATATCAGAAAGAATGATTGACTGATCCCAGCCTACTAAGTGTTTCCCCTTCAGTCAGCTGAGCTAGCGGGAGTGAGGGAATCACAGGTAAAAATGGAGCAGCAGCAGCTGTGGGCAGGGTGGCCATGGTTGGTATGTCCAGTGCATGTCAGAGAGCCTGGAGGAGGGGGTCCTAGAAAAGCAAGAGTAGAAACCAGACTGTATTGTATGCCTTCATAAAGTGCTATTCCCATCTCTGAGAACAGAAAAAAGAAAGAAGAATCTCTGCCCTGGGAAGAATACAGATCCATCAGTGTATAAAGACTTTTATCACTGCAGGGCTTTTTCTCAGCCACCACTGCTACTGTAGACCCATTAACTTAAAAAGTATATAAAAGTTGTTTATGTTTATTTTCAGGTCCCTGTCCCTCCAATTTTGGGTTTTTATCAAGTGAAAGAAGAAGAAACACACCTAAGAATAACAGTTAATTTAAAACTTCATGAAAGTGTGAAAAATAATTTTGAATTCTGTGAAGCACATATACCTTTTTACAATAGGTAGGAATAAAGTGACATGATTCCATGCTGGTTGTCTTTCTTAGTATGTTCTCACTGCCCGACAATAAATTATTTGTTTTTCATCTTATTTTAAGCTTGAAATAATTTTATGTTATTCAAATGAATGCTGATTCTGAACCAAAACATAGTCTTAATGATGATCTCTTTACTATTACATATGTCTTCTTTTTTCTCTTTAAACTTGCCAGTTAACTTAAAGCCAGTGTAGCTTTCTCAGAGATTCACTCCTGGCTTTATTTCTAGCAATTTCTCTGTATTCTACATACAAGTCAAGCCCAACTATCAACAGCCTTGTGAATTATAAGATTACTTACGCATCACTTTTACTTTTAAGTTTATTTTGCAGCATATTTCTTTTCAAGAGATATACAAATGTATATTAAAATCATAGTTTTAATGTTATGTCAACCCATATGATTATATTAATCATTCTGTATGATTTTTTAGTTGTCTTTAGGATTAATAATGAAATATATATCATCACCAAAAAATGTTTATGTGGTTTCTGGTGTTTCTCAAGATTTAATATTCATTATTTGTTCTGGTTTGCAAACTTGAATACAGATCTGCTGTTATGCTCTTCTTGCATTAAGTAACAGTAACAAGATTTAACATAAGTCTCTTAAAACTATTAATCTGTGATCATTTTTTTTCTATTTGATCCTTTTTTGAAGAGGTCCAATTACGCATTTGGAATACAAAGTTAGTTTTGGCCAGCTTGAAGTATTTCGAGAAAAAGGCTTGCTGATCTGGACTATTGGTGAGCAAGGTTTTTATGTTGGGTTGGTTTTTTTAAAATTTCAGATTAATGTGAGGGTATAAACACCAAGCTATGTTAGTTTTATTTTTTTGTTTGTTTGCTGTAGAATCTACTTAATTTAGAATTGTTCTTTGGTATATTTGTGTTTTTAGGCCAAAAGTTCCCCAAATCAATGGAAATTAATCTTTCTGGAACTGTAGCATTTGGAAGGAAGAGCCATGAGAAGCAGCCATTTGACCCGGTTTGTATTAGAGGCACAGCGTATGTAAAGGTAAACATACTTATGTGACTCACTACAGGAGAGCCCCTTCCTTTGGTTCTAAACCGCATATACCTAGCTGATTTTTAATGTTTTCCACCAATTTGGGAGAAGTTTTATACTTTTTATCCAGGCTAAGTCCTTTTGGGTTTGTTTAGTTTTAGTTACTTTTCCACTTCACTTAATACTTAAAATTGTAAGGGAGCCAGACACAGTGGCACATACCTGTAGTCCCAACTACACAGGAGGCAGAGTGGGGAGGGTTGCTTGAGTACAGGAGTTCAAGGCTATAATACACTGTGATTGTGCCTGTGAATAGCTACTACATTCCAGCCTGGAAAACATAGTGAGACGCAGTTAAAAAAAAAAAAATTAAGAGAAACAGCCCAACTTACCTAGTTAATTCTACCTAGCTCTTACTTAACAAGTTCAAGATTTATATACAAAAAATATGAGATTTAGTCCTTGCCCCTAGGGATTTTTTTCAATGACATTTATCAGTAATTAAGCTGCTTTTAGTGTTTCAAGGAATGAGTAAGCAGTTCAAGCCCAAGTGGTCAAGGTAAGCTTTACAGTGGAGATGGAGTTTAAGCAAAACTCCAAGGTCTAGATAAGCATGAGTTGAAGATTGACCCACATTTGTTTACTTAAAGAAATGACTTAAAAGAGTGAAGAAGGACAAACAAATCCTGCTTAGGTGCCAGTGTTAGAAACTGTAGTACTGTGTGAAGCTGGTTAAGTAATTTTGGTTTGGATATTATAGAAGCTTTGAATCTGACTTATTCCTTTGGTTGATACTATACTTTTTTGAGTAGTTTTTCACCAAGTGATACATTATGAATATCAATTCAAAGTAGTTTTTCCAAGTGACACATTATGAATATCAATTTGGAGTGGATATAAGGAAGGTAAGTGAAAAAACTGAAGGCAAAGCATTTTATGGCCGTGTATTAGTATATTAATATTCCAGATGCAGGGTAATTATAAATTAATGATGCTGAGCTAGAAAGAGAAAGGAAGAGAGAAAGAGAAGGGACTGCAGGAGGAGCCATGATAAAAGTAATGCCTTGCCCACTATCTACATAAAGGGAAAAAATAATTACAATTATAAGATGGTATTCTTCCCAAAAATATGTAACCTAAACCAGACTTACTGCTCTAAGAGGGTGGAGACATGTAGATCTCACTCATTCATTGTTTTATCCAAAACATCTAGTCTAGTGCCTAGCACATAATTATTTGCTGAGTGGATAAATATGCTTAAAAGAAAATACTGATATGGAGAAAGTTGGGAGGGAATGAGTTTCATATTGTATTTATAGCTGGTAATAGCAGCATATCCCTTTGTAAGTCTCCAGGGGTAGCAAAACATATAAAGCAAGAGCTCATCTGTATATAAAGAATTAGGAGTTATCCACAGATGAAATAGTTGAGGTAGTAGAATAAGTTCAGGGAAAGATAACAGAAAATATGGCGAACATTCAGAAAAATCAATGAGAGAATTGAAGGAGTTATTAGAAAGGTAGCAGGAAAACCTAAATAGAATGATATTTAAAAAACTAAACAAGATTGAGTGGCGCCTGTGGCACAGTGAGTAGGACACCAGCCCCATATACAGAAGGTGGTGGGTTCGAACTCAGCCCCGGCCAAACTGCAATAAAAAAAATAGCTGGTTCTAAAAGCAGAGTATGATTGTCTTAATAACTAAGAAAATGACATGAAGTCTACGTTAACCATTTGATGAGAGTATTTCAAATTATATATGAAAGCACCACACTGTGCCCCGTGATTGCATTAATGTACACAGCTATGGTTTAATAAAAAAAAAAAATAGCCGGGCAAGTAGTCCCAGCTACTCAGGAGGCTAAAGCAAGAGACTCACCTAAGCCCAGGAGCTGGAGGTTGCTGTGAGCTGTGACACCAGGGTACTCCATCGAGGGTGACAAAGTAAGACTCTGTCTCTAAAAAAAACGAAGAAGAAGAAGATTGCAATCTGTACATAGAGATAATTTAGAGGAAATGGTAGTAAAATCAGAATACCAGTGATAGTTCATGTTTTCTATCTTGGCTTCACCTATGTGTACACCTTTGTTTCAAGGATTATTATAAAAATTCCTACTTCCAATAGCTTTCAGAAAAAAATGTGAGGTGTTAATCACATTGTATGTCCTTCAAAGGAAGAAATTGTGATTTTTCTATTCATTTCCATTACCTAACCAGGGATGTCCAACCTTTTTTCTTCTCTGCCAAAACTTGGAAGAATAAGATTTGCTTTGGGCCACACATTAAATACACAAACACTAAGGAAACCTGATGAGCAAAAAAAAGGTCTGTGCATACTTTCCACAGTCTCTGATACCACAGATAAGCAAAACAGTCCTCACATAATCAGCATGTGACCCATAAGCCACAGGTTGGAAACCCTGAGCCCTAACCAGTTACAGTCTCATCAGTGGCCTGGATTACATGTTTGTGTTCACTGATTGACTAAGTGAGCTTTACATTACTTGGTCATGTGGAAATCAACTGTCTTAATTTTTAGCGTTCATAATTATACTAAACATGCAAGCAAGAGCCCTTTACTATCAGAGATAATTTGAGTTACAAGAAAAAAAATGCTGAGATCTAAAAGTTACATCACATTCTAAATCACATCCTATGTCTGTGATCAGATAGTTTGGCAGTTAAAGAATGAAGTTAGGAAATGGGAAAATTTTGTAAGGTAGGGAAATAGGAAAAATATAGAGAAGATACTAGGATGTTGCTAAATCAGGAGCATTTAGCAGCAGATATGAGGACCACAGCAAAAGGAGACAGGAGCTCTGCTAAAGCAGAACTTTTCATAATTCTTGGGCATGTCATTGTAACCAGAGGCACCCATCACTACTTTCAGAGAAGGAACTAATGGCTCAGTCTGTTACAGCACAATATAATAACTGGTTTATAGTGATAACCCTACATTATCAATGAAATTCAGGAACTGTGGAATGTTTTAGAAAAGTTTTCTAGGTGAGGGAAGGGATAATTTCTAAGCTTAGTTCTATAAAAGTTAAATTTCACTCTTCTAGAAAATTAAAGCAGTTCATTCTCATCAAACACAAGATAACCTCATGTTTCTGTTTTAGTAGTTGCATTGCTTGTATTTTGCTAGATGTTAGGTTCTATTCCTGTCAATGAAAGAATTATGATCTGAGGTGTATCATAACCACTTAGCTCCAGGGAGAGAGGAGAACGTGCAATGTACCAGGCAGCACAGGAAAGGGGCGCCAGCTCCGCTGCTTCCTGCAGGGATGCGCTGTGCTTCCGTCTTCCAACCTCCATTCCCATATTTGTAAAATGGGAATACCTTGCAGTGTGGATTAGAATTCATGCTCATGAAGTACCTGGTAAGTGTTAAGTACTCCATAATTACAAACTTAAAAAGCAACTGCCCTGATGCTAAGGGCAGGAAAGTGTGTATGCGTATGTGTGTGTATGTCCATGCACACACATACAGCTCAGGGTTAATACTTGTGGGGTTTATTTTGTGAGCTAGGTGAGATAAATTGCCTAAAATTTGTCAAGGGAAAAAAATGTAACCATCTTTTTTACATAATCACTTCAACTTGATAACATTTCTCTCCTTTTTGTAGCTTCATTTTAAGATCTTAGATTATACACTCACTGGATGTTATGCGGATCAACATTCAGTTCAAGTTTTTGCATCAGGAAAACCAAAAATAAGTGCATGTAAGTTACAGAGATTCAGCCTAAATTAAGGGAATTAAAATGGTGTTATGCAGTTACTACCAAGGTAAAAATTATAATATAATTGAACTTAGAGATTGGAAAATAATTTTAACTTATCAAACGTTGCCCTCTGTGTTCTCCTTATAAAATGATCTGAGTGAGCAAGGATTAAGATACAGGTGAACTTTTGTGTAAAGCTGGATTTGTTTTCCTCTGGTATAATAAACCTCTTTTATTTAGAGTTGTTTTACAGGGATGTTGCTACTGGACAGGTAGGGGTTTGAGTCTGGTCAAACATCTTATTGTGTAACTTTGGGCAAGTTAATGAACCTCCTGAAGTTTTAGTTTTCTTATCTATAAAATACTAATAGAAGTAATAATGTTCTTTACATCAGAATTGTTATGACATTTTAAAAAGATGATATTGTGGCTCGGCGCTTATAGCTCAACCGGCTAAGGCGCCAGCCACGTACACCTAAGG